ATAATAAGTAATTTGAGAGAGAGAGAGAGAGAGAGAGAGAAAATTGAGATTTATTGGTCATTACACACACACACACACACACATTTTTTCACTATATATATAGAAACGTTTTATATTGGTTTCTTATGAAACTATACATACGTTTATAATACGTATATGAAACTAACATGTGCTACCTGGGATATTATATAAAACCTGTAAATAATTAATTCTTATTAGGAAAAATATTACCTCGGCCGGGAGTCGAACCCGGATCTCTTGCATTCGGTGCGAGCGTCCTAAGCCTTTAGACTACTGAGGCCTTAGTAATATTCCTCGCAATAATTGACATATGAAGGACAACGTCTCTCTAGGCGACGTAAATAAAGAATATAATATTTTATAGGACCGTATATGTGTGATAACACAAACTATAGAAATCAAAGCCTTAAACAGTCTAGCTAGATCTTAAATGCTTGTATGATTCTTGTGTGAATTTATCGAGGGGGTAACCACTTAATGTAACCGTGGGATAGAGTTCCTGAAATTATTATAAAATTCATACGAAATCCCTATGTATAATCCGATAATTACATATGTAACTACAAGGAATAATTGTATAATGTCCGATAAAATCGTTTATTTTACCAAATAAATCGAAGGCTTTTTTCTTTCAATATTTAACAAATAAGTTAATGAAAAATTGCCAATGTGAGCCAACACATGATGTTCCTTTGTGAAATAACTGTCATATATTATAAATCTAGAGTATAAATTACAAACGTTTCGACATCATTATTGCGTCCTCTTTAAATGTAGGAATAACAAATTCTATATGTAGTAAGCGTCCCAATGAAATAAAGTAAAGTTGCTTACTATATCTAGAATATGGTTTATACATTTGAAGCAAACACAATAATGATGTCGAAACGTCTGTAATATATACTTATGATTTGAGCCGTTTATTTTGAAAGTGGCCTAAGTCCATTTTTCAATGTTTTGTTGTTGACCTTTGTAGTAGCGTGTACAACTTAAAGTTAGCTGTCATAAACATTTTTTTTTTAATGGACTTAGGTCACTTTAAAAATAAACGGCTCATTTATAATATGATAATTATTTCGCAAAAAACATTTGGTGTTGGGTCACATTGGTAATTCTTCCTGAATTGATTTCTGTTATAATTCCTCATCATGATGAACACCGTCTTGAATTTATAGGCAACGAAAAGGAAGGAGAAAAATTAATTAGAGAATTTTTTATTAATCTTTCTTACATATCTTCTTATATATCTTTTTCTCTCGCACGCATCTTGAACACAATTCTGAACTACAATCCTCCCTCCATGTATATAAGATTTCAAGCCCACTTTTTTCGTGACCGACCGCTAGATTCCATACTGGACTTTCGAAGGAGTAACATCTCCCAATAATCGCTATCGAATGTCTAATTTAATATTTTGTGAAATCTTTTTTCGATTTTTGGTTAATAGTGATAATAATAATATTATTACGGAAATAATCCTGGGACACAACAAGAATAATTATTTCTAGCAATAATGTTGGAAATTGGTTGTTATAAAGTCCTTGATTTTACTGCATCGTAAATTTTACAACGAGAATAGAACATATCTACATCAAAAGATGGAAAAGTGATTCTTGCTACAATTCTGTGAAGACTCAAAATCTACGTCAAGAAGTTCTGAAACAATGGTGAATATTTATTTTCATTGGATGTGAATTTTTTATATCATTTGAAACGATTTGAAATTCGTCAAATTAAGGAAATTAGACTCTCTAATGAGAGTCAGCGCGAGCGAAGGTGCGCAATAAATCTGCACAAATAAAATTTGTTACTTCATATGATGTGTTGATCTCATCTTTATTTGAAATATTGACATCTTGAACGTTTCGTTTTATTTGGTTAAGAAATTTAGCGCATTGATATATAATTTGTTTTAATGTATTCATATCTTTTAGACAATATGTTATTTTAAAAATATCTATTTATTGATCCTATCAGTTTGACCTTGGATTGCATGGCCAAGGTCAGGTTAGGGTAATATTGATTTTCTTAAATGGAACACCCTATTTTTGATTCAAGAATCTAATAGCTGATGTCGAGACCTTTCCAAAACGCTATAATAAAATATTTTTTCATGAAGTACTTTTCAAGTTATAATGCTTCAAAGTTACAGTATCGCCGGCACTAACATTACCCAAGATATATAACTACGCGTTATGTTTTTGTTTGTGCGTTAACTGAAGGTCAAGATTCACGGACCACCGACCGATCTCGCCTTGAATGGCCAGTCTCCAAAATTAAATATTTTGGGTAATGCTAATGCCCCCCCCCCTCACTTAACCAAATCTTAATGAAAAAATTATGGAATAATGCGCTATTTATGCGCTACTTATATCCGCAAAAAAAATTTTTGCGCTCATTACGTTCGAATGCGAGTATTCGTGAGCAAACGATGAGAAAACGAATGCAGAAAAAATATTCGATTTTTTAATATTTTAAATTTCGAATAACTTTTGAACTAAGGGTGAGCAAACGAAAATTCCGACGGAGCAATCGTGAGCAAACGATGAGCAAACAAATGCAAAAATAAAATATTCGATTTTTTAATATTGGTGGGCGCTAGCGTGAAGTTAGCCCCCCAAAATTTAATTTTCGTACAACTTTTGAAGCAAGGGTGAGCAAACGAAAATTCGAACGGAGCAATCGTGAGCAAATGATGAGCAAACGAATGCAAAAAAAATATTTGATTTCACTATTCGAAAACACGAACTGAACGAATCCAACACACCCGGTGAGCTAGGGCGCCAGGTGATATCCTCTGGTCAGGATCATGTTCAAATATAACATCACTTGGCAGAAGTTGTACGAAGATTTTCTCCTCTAACGTAAAACAAAAAGAAAGGAAGCATCATATACCATGGTAACATTAGCGTTCGATAATAAATAATTGTATTATAAAATTGTTTATGGTATTTAACTAAAGAATTCCATCCGCCATATTGATTCAACCACTTTGAATTTTCAAATTTTCAAACCGCCATAACGATTCGGTCATTTTTCTTATTCAAACATTTTGAATCCAGATTCGTAATATTATATTTCATAAAGTGTAAAAAGGAAAATACAATGGAGGAGCGCGCGCGTAGCGCGCGCAGAGGATGTGCTAGTTGTGTAAAAATTTGAAATAATAAATATAAACATCCAGCTGAGATTCCGCGAGTTGAAATGGTGCCGTTATCCCAATTTTTGCGGTTGTACTAATAGCAACATTTTTCTTCCGTGTAATTTATCGAATTTTTGTTTACGTGCTAAGTACAAAGGAAAAAATCAACAAATATATTTTTAATACATAATAAACGATATTTTTGCTAACTAAATTAAATATGAGAACTATCCCAACAGGATTTTATTTCCTTTCTCAAAACAAATTGATATTTACGGCTCAACAATTTTTTACACATGTTCTTATGAAATTTTTGAAACTATTCAGAATTTCGGAGGGGCGCTGCAGCCCCCACAGCTCCTCCCCCCCCCCCAGCCACTAAAGCCCAATATTATTTTGGCTTTTTTAGTTAAATAATATTTGGTAATATCTTAAAGTCTCTTTTAAAATTGGAGGATTCCTTTTGTTTATTAACATGTGAATTTAGCTGAAACGTACTTGTAGTCACTAATATTAAATACATTGAAGTATACTGATATTCGTCCAGTAATTTAAGCGCACCGACTACAGCGCGGATTCCTAATTGCCCTAATTTGATTATTATTGTTTAAGTTATTTTATTATAAGGAATCTTATTATGGTTTTTATAATTTTTAACATGTTATGTCTTTTAAATTACAGTATAGTTTTTGGGATCCACAAGAGTTAACCCTTTGGGTAAGTTTTGCATATACAGGGTGTCTCAAAAAATGTGACTGAAACACAGTGGGGACATAGATTGGATCAAGGGGAACAAAACAGTTTTG